ACCCCCGCCTCCCACCAATGTTACAGTCCAGCCTTGTTATAGAGCCACTGGGGTTCCTGTTCGGTGTATTTGCCTGCAAGAAATGTTACTTAAACTACTAAATACAGAAACATTTGCAGTGTCTTTATTACATTACAAACCTGGTGTCAGAAGTGGACCTATCGCTTGGAGGGACATTCGACGGCAGTGAGTAACCGTGTGGATATACTTTCATGATTTAAGCGAGGACCGAGGAGCTAACGAGCAACACCCTCATGGTGTCAGGCACTCCACCCCCAGAGGAAATGAAGCTAACGGGATATTACAAATAACTGGGACAATTTTCGAATGGAATTTGAGGACTTTTCTTTGGCAACAGGATTGGCAGACAAAGTCAAAGTGCTGGCAGCCACTGCCAGGAAACCGGACAGGCAGATGGAAAAGGGGTGTCGTCAGCTGGTCAACAGGTGGATCCCCGATCATACCTGGTGGATGTTGAAGGGACTTTATACAAACGCAACAGAGTAGCGCTGAGACCAGCTGAAAAGGAAAAGCCAGACAGATCACAGGGAACACAAACTTGTGATATGGACAGTGCTCAGAAAGAAAGGGACATACAGGGAAACAAAGGATCAACTGCCAGCTGAAGAAACCCTTACCCATTTCCCAGAGAAGAGACAATACAGGACCAGCAGTGGCAGGCTGGTGAAACCACCAAAGAGATTGAACTTGTAAAAAAAAGTGTATATGTATTTCAGACTGTGCTGTGAGTTGTGAAGGTAAATGAATCCATCATTTTGTGGGTATTTGTTTTAAGTCATTATAAAAAGGGAGATGTTACAGGACTCCCCCATAGAGTTTAGGTAATGGTACAGTCCAGCCTTGTTATAGAGCCACTGGGGCTCCCGTTCGGTGTACGTATTTGCTTGCAAGAAATGTTACTAAAAAACCTACTAGATACAGAAACATTTGCGGTGTCTTTATTACATTACAAACACTTGGGCGCACCACCGCGGGGGCAACAGGTGCAAGAAGGAAATGATCCCGCTCTTCAGCGACATCTTCCAGAGCTGATATAATCCCTCCAGTGAATCCTTCTCCAAATGGCGGCTGTAACTAAAAAAAGAAAAGTTGACAGGGAGGGCTGTCGCTTCCAGGACAAGTGGAAATGTCAGTGGTTTTTCACTGAAATACGGAACAATTGTGTCTGCTTAATTTGCCAAGAGACTGTGGCTGTTTCCAAGGAATACAATATCAAGAGGCATTACCAGACGAAACATGCTAACAATGACAATCTAACCGAGAGCGAACGCCGTGAAAAGGTGAAGCAACTGGAAGCTGTTTTAACGGCACAGCAGCGTTTTTTCACAAGAGCCCCATAGTCAAAAAATTCCACATTGGCAAGCTACAAGGTAGCTACGCTAATTGCTAAGCACTGCAGATTTTTACTGAGGGTGAATTTATTAAAGACTGCGTGATGAAAATGGTGGAGAAAATTTGTCCTGAGAGGAAGCAAGAGTTTGCTAATATTTGCCTGGCTCGTAACACTGGTACGGAAAACTGAAGACGTTTCATCTGACATTAAGAGACAATTGGAGGTAAAATGAGCAGAGTTTGACTTTTTTCATTAGCCTGCGACGAAAGCACAGATGCATCTGATACAGCTCAATTATTGATTTTTTTGAGAGGAGTGGACAAAGAAATGAATGTGAGGAGTTACTTGACCTCCAGAGCTTAAGGACCAAACGAGAGGAGCAGATTTATTTGCTTCAGTTTCAACAGTTTCTACTCGACATCCAGGCTGAATATGGAGATGTTGTGTATCATAACGACATAAGATGGCTCAGTCGGGAGTCTGCACTGCAGCACTTTTACTCTCTTACCCCTAATTTACATTACATGCGTTACGGTTCTGCTCTGCTGCGCTGCGCAGGTCGCAGCCGTGTGTTTCAAGTCCAGTTGACACTACCACCACTCTGCTCCGGTCCGACAGGCGTGCAGGAAGGAGATTGCGCAATTAATTCAGTGATAAGTGTGGAAGTCACAGCAAAAAATAATTCTGTGAAAGGCGAACTCCAAACACAGCTGAAAATGATATAAAGGCTTTTGGTATCTATGTTGAAAATGTCTCACTGTCGGCTTTCTGAAACTTCTGATTTCAAAATAAAATCCACGTGTATCGTGTGTGTACACATAATGCTTCATGCTGCATGTTTCCATCTGCTTCCCAAACCGAACGATACATTCTGACAGCATTTGTGTAGAAATATATCCGTTTAATATAGCTGCAATTTCAACATTATTCCGACAAATTATCTAGCCTAAAAGTGTCTTATTTTGAAAATACGGATGTTGTGCTCGTTTCTTTTCCTGTTGGTGCGACGTAATCTTTAAAAATCGACTCTGGCGCTGCTCCGGCGTCCGGCAAAAATAGGATCTGTTCTAATTTTGACGGATCGCCATCCGCTCACCGCCACCGTGTGCAGCTAGTGTAAACACTCTCATTGGGCCTCATGCAAGAACATGTTCGTATTCTTCTCCTAAATTTCTCTTACTTTTGGTCGTACAAAGGGTTCGTACGAACATGTCACGTCAGATTCAACAAACTCTTCTATCTTCAGGAAAAGTGCGTAAATGAGCTGCGTAAATTACACCTGTTCTATCCAGCTGCTCGTGCACGCGAGAGGAGATTAACATAATTACCACCCCAAAAACACCATATAAGGCTGTGTTTCCTGCCTCAGATACAAGGAAGTGTCCATTCATTCATGAGAAATGACAGCGATAATTAAAAAGAAGGAGAAGTTTACGAGTTCAGAGATTGAAGTCCGTCTGTCAGAGATCCAGAAAAGAAAATCTGTCATTTTTAGCAGGTCAGCTGTAGAATAAAAAAGAGCTGCTAAATGTATAAACAACTGTGTTAAATCATTTTCATTTATTCAGAAGACACAGCGTAGCGTTGCGCTGCGCCCCCCC